GGAGAAGCAGGCCAAAGGGCGCGGGGGGGGGGGGGGGGGGGGGGGGGGGGGGGGGGGTATAAACAGATAGGATATAAACATAGATACAGCGAGTAGGGGAGGGGTGACCTCTTTGTCACAATTACTTTCTGTGTCACAAGGCGGATGTGAGAGGGGAATAGTATGCGAGCACTCGACAGTGGCCCAGAGAGAAGAAAACACAAACAGCCTCATTTTGTTATCTTAAAAGAAGGCTAAAAATATACTGTCACAAGCCACTTCAATTACTAGCTAAAAATAAATAAACGTCTCATCTCTGACAGCCTCTCCTCTTGAGAGTATCCGGGAAAATATTATTGCTATAGGATTTAAATGTTTTGTATGATTTATCTCAGTTGGTGTTGCTTTTACTCCCTTTATTTAATCGAGATGTTTATCCCTAATGCAAATCCCTTCTTGGCCTAAAAGACTAAAGCACGGAATGGATTGGATAACAACCCATGTGACAACCAACACACCCCCCTGCTCAGCCAATGAGAAAAAAAGATATTGAAGACTGGCACAGTTCCGTTTTTGGGGTTTAACAAAGGACATAGACTAAATCTGATGATTGCTTCCTCAGATGAACCTTGAAATGGCAGAAAATAGGGATAAATGACTTTTTCTGAAGCAAAAATGTCTTGTTTTGTCCAACCAACAGACCAAGCCCAAAGATATACCAGTAAGCAGCTGGAAGATGGAGAAGTTTGGCATTGACAAATTCATAATTTCAGCTTTAGTTAAAGTATTCACAATTGTTGACAAACGAAGAGAGAGGAATTGATCACGTAGCGCAAAATAATCCCTTTAGGATCCGAAACTGATTAATCCTAAAGAAAGAGGTGAAATAAACTCAATCTGATGAATAAGGGGATAAAAAGATGGAAAATGTGAACTGGAAGCCTGGGGTTTGGGAGTCTCAGTGAAACAGCATCAGTGGTCAATGAGCAGGAGATGAGGCCTGCTGTAATTACGCGCTGTACCGCAAACTGACTCAGGCATGTCATTTTAAATGGGTGGTGAAAGCTGCAAAATAAAGACATTACCCTAATTTTGGTGGCGTAGCTAGGGAAGAGGCTAGGGAGTTTCCTTTTCTTTTTACCCCAACAAATTAAACAAAGTGCTTCTTGGCATGCAGTGGAGCAGTGACTCGTCTTTTCCTCCTTTGATTTATTTACATCATGTCTGAGATGGCACACATGTGTCCCTTAACCTAGGGACTGACGTGACAACCAGTCCCAGGTTAGATTTAAAGACGTGACTGTCTGCAGAAGCCTTAATGTCAACATTTGATAAATTGTTGAATCTAAAGATGAATCGTCTTGTGCTGTTGGGGGTCTGGGCTTAATTAAGAACAACATGTTTTGTCATATAAAATAATATCTATAAAACGTTGGTCTAACCGACACCACATTACAAGTCCAACGATTAAATATGAACTACTGGCCAATTTTTTTTTTAGTGGAGTTGAAGGAATATTCTACCCAAGTGTGCATAAAATGATATAACCTGCGTCTCATTTATCAGCGTAAATTGTTTGCACCATCTGCATCCCAAATGTATACGGCTAACTCGCACCTTCTAATTAGCTGACATTAGATCAGTGCTAGATTAAATCTCGACTACAGATGGTGAGAACCTTAGGGACAGAGTCGAGACTTGTTAAGTGCTAATATGAGATATAGTAACACTCTACACCGATAATATTGCACAATGAGTGCAGTACTTCGAAAATGGTAATTCCTGAATATTTGTATTACTGCTGCATTTTGAGCTGATGTAAAATATTCATCCAGGGATAAGTGCCAAGGAGAACCATGGCAGGAATCCAAAACCACTCATAAAAGGTAGCTTATTTCCTTCTGTTCTACTTGCTACTTCATGTCATGCTGCGCCATTGTTTTCTTTGTCAGGTGCCCAGCTAATACGAAAAAGACATAAGTGAGAGCTTAGCTGCAAAAAAGATCTGGAGCGCAGCCCAGATGTTAGATTAACTTTCATCAAAGTCAATATTAAGTGATTATAAACCCCACCCTCCACCAACGCCCACCATCTAATAAAACTAATTAAGTGGGGCCATTATTGCCGGGAGTTGAAATGAAACGTGATCGTGGACAAGATATACCAAAGTGGGTAAAGAGGAGGATCCAGACAGCGTTTCAAGGAGGGATCATTTTAACTGCACACAGACGCGCAGAAGAGCGGGAAATAAAAAATAAAAACTCTGGCATCACGTCTCAAGAATGTCAGCAATGAGCTTACAGACCACATCCCAACACATAAGAGTCAGAGTCGGAATCACATCCAGACCTATAAGAGCCGAGGAGGAAAGAGAGGGATTGCTGTGGAACGCCTGACAGGGAGAAGGAGGACCTGTCTGACAGTCCAATGAGCATCCTCCGTCAACATCACATGACGCAATCCCAGAAATGGTTTTGAAATTGTTCCATGCTGCCAAAAGTTTCTCTTAAAGGGAAAGACAGAGAGAGAGCGAGAGAGAACAGGGAGAAGTTGTGGAAAGGGTTGGAGGGAGAAAACACAAGGCGATGTGTTTTACTGCATACCTCGGGCAAGGTCATACGAGTACAGAAGAGACATCATATCTGGAATGACCCGGCCTGCAGATCAGGGTTATAAACACATGGACCTATGACCCACACATTAAAGTACACACACCTTAATTCAAATATGATGTGAGTTTAGAAATTGCCTTAGAGAAACAATATGGGATAAACAGATCGGGAAAAGAGAACAATGGACAAAAAGAGACAATGTGGACATAACAACAAGTCGACAAACTGAGTGAATGCAGCTAAACAACTGGCTGAGCAGACTAGTCCAGTCCTGTCCCTTTGCTTCCTTCTCTCTCTCCCTCGTTCCCCCTCCCGCAGCCTCCACGGGTCTATCTCATGCTCTTTTCCTGCGATCACAGGGAGCATGTTGCAGCAGCCGTAACAGCACATGACAAGGGGACCTGTGCCCCACACAGGATGGGCTAAACTGGGGTGGGGTGGGGGGGGGTCACATGTCCTGTGTCCAACCCTATGGTCTGTGCACCACTCTCCCCCCCTGCCCAGGCCCCAGCGCTGGCCTGCAAGGCGAGAGAGAGGCAGTGACGGCAGCCTGCCCCCTTATGCTGGGCCCCTTGCTGGACTCTGGAGAGGGAAAAGAGACGAGGCAGGGAGAGGCCCACTCAAACACACACCGAAAGTCCTGTTTATGTCTATGCCGAATTTGACAGAGAATGCCCATTCTCAAGCACAGAGAGTTGAGCACGCAGAGAGCCAACTGGACAAAACCGGACAGGCAACAGAAATCTGGGTGAGGTGGGTGCAAATGCGAAAGCCCACAAATTGAAGTTATATAATCTCAAATAAATGGTATCGCCCCTCTCGGGAAATACGTAAATACTGTAGATGAGAAACAACAAAACACTTTTGAAAGATGGAAGAAAAAAATGTATACGTTACATCCATAATTCGGTTGAAAATAAATAAATCTAGATATCCTTCAATGCCCTATTTATCAAACAATTAATTATATTATTTTATTCTGGACGATATCTTTCTGCAAGACCTGTGCTCCATATACAAAAAAATTCTACCTGTGTGATGATGTGTTTGGCCTACAAACCATTAACCACATAATTGAGGACCAAAAGACATTAGGGGGAACTTAACACTTCATTAGTCTCATATGCAACTCAACATATGTGGGAAACAGCACGCATGTACAGACGTACACACAAGTGGGTCTTTACAAGTACAGCAGCCTCCTTCTTTCTATAGGGTTACATGTGAGAGGAAGGGACCAATTACTGTAGTCACGAAAGGGGGGTGGGGCAGGTATTTCAATGTACAGAAGACCTAATGGACTGTACCATCTCCACAGCACACAGGTCCATTACAACCTGCTACAGATAAAGTCAATACAGACACCAATGGAGCCCATTTTGTATCTTCACACACAGAAATACACTGAAAATGCATTCAGAAGTTGAAGGATGAATGGTCCTCATTTGGGTTGAGTCGTACATTTCCACAACATATAAATTCAGAACATGTGTGGCCGTTGATCTCAAGAGTGCCAAGTTGTTGAGGAACAACGACAAATTCACTTTTCTAAAACAAGCAATGAAGAAGCAGACATAAAAACACCATCTTCCCTACTGCGTTACAAATGTCCATCTCAATATTCAAATGTGTATTTACCTCCTGTAATTTGGTCCCCTTCGTATGTACTTTGAAGGGATGAGCAGCAGAGAGAAGCGCTAGAGGCTTTTTGAATTTCCGAATCAAGTAAGACAAGACGCTCGTAGTAATAAATGATGTCATTATCAGGCAGGGGCTCAGTTCTACATGACTATGCTGTCAGTGGTTAAGGAGTACAAATAGGTGTAGATTTAGAAATAATCCTGCCACGCTGTGTGTGTTTGTTTATGTTCCTAATGCTTAGACATATTTTTGGACATGGTCTAACTGTATGTTACATGAAAAGCGGGCTGAATTCTCCACTGACCCCTGCAGCGTATCTATGTTTTATCAAGGGTTATTGTGATATTAAAAAGTGAGCGAACTAGCTCATAATTAATTAAATAAATTATGGGGGAAATTCCACAAAGTCCACACATCCATATAAGTCAGGCCTTTAATTTAAAAAGGGGTCACTCATGTAGGTCACAAAGTACTGACATTTAACTTATTTCATATTGTGATGTTACATTCATGGAAATATTGATAATAGTTAATGCATTACATCTTAATACATGTGTACTTGTTCAAAGAATCATAGTTGTTAAATCACGCGACTGAAACAATTCCAGGAGATACGATTGCGGAAATGCGTAACATCAAAGCCACATATGTTAGGAGTTGATCACATGTTAATAATAGACTATTTCAGAGGAGATGTTCAAAATACAGCAAGCCACAAATATACACGTGCAGGAGGCATGTCTTCAAAGCAACAAAACAATATCTCACCTGAGGTTTTAGCATTCCCTTGTACAATAGGTAAGTGTTGAAACCTTGCCTCAGTTTTTCCCAAGTTGTTAATCCTGTTCAATAGAAAAGCAAAATGGCATGTCGCAAGTCAGTGAGTGGGCCTCGTACCTGACCAGCCGTCCCTCTGTTTATATAACAGTGAATTACTTTCAACAGCAACATACGCACTCAATTGTGATCAACATGAAGGCAGTAGCGTAAGTGCGCACACACGCGCACACACACACACACACATACACACACACAATAACAGATTAAAACTGTGTCAAACCTGTTTCCTACGAGGATTTGAGCAACATAAATTACAGTTACTCAACTTTAGCATTCCTCCTGTGCATGCAAGTTTCATACCTCGGCTCAACTTTTCCCCATGAAGACCCGAGTTGCGTTTAATCCTCTTTAGTCTCTCCGTTGGTCGTCGTGTTCAGTCATGCTCTTGCAAAGTGAGTCCCCTCCATGTTGCCTGCTGGGTGGGTTAGCTTCGAGCAGAGAGAGGACCGCGCTGTACTAAACTCAAAAATGTGAGGCGACTTGGGGAGAAAACGTCAAACTCGTACGCCCTTCTAGACGTCGGCACACACACACACACACACACACACACACACACACACACACAGCAGCGCTGGTAGTAGCTAGCGTTAGCGTGGCTAGCTGGCTGCATTAACCCTAAAACGAGGCACGAAGTCCAACCAGCTTACTAACCGCTCTGCGACCGCGGCCGACGAACATCCAGCGGGAAAACAGTCGAGACGCAGATGTATTTAAAAGACGGGCAAACGTACGCACTAACATGGAGAAAACTCAATCACACCTACGGTAGTTCGACGTGAAATACCTCCTTCTTCAGGACCCAAATAGATGGCCATTACTTTTTGTTATGCACCGCCCCCTCTTCAGGACCTCTACGGGAAAAAAGGGATTTCCCCCCCAGCCCCTCTAGTAACCAATCACCGGTGGGCTCGACGTGTATCCCTTGCTGTGATTGGTGACATTTCGGCCGAGCCCGCTTTTCTTTGGTCGGCTCCGGGGCCCATAAGCGGAGAGCCGCCCCCTCAAACAGGGGTGTGTCGTGACGTCAGAGGTAACGGAGAGGTAAACAACTTTGACCGCGTGAGGTTTAAAGCAACATCGTTTCGCCTCTAATCCCCGAATCAATGGACACCCCGGTGTGGGGGATCACCGCACCTACATAATACAGTGTGATTTCTCAATAATGTGGAAAAGGTCCCGTTGAGGTATTTTTTTTTTCTTCTATTGCGCCACGGTGTCTTTGTTTTGCTGCTTCAGACTTTGAGCCATATATTTGGAATTTGAATACACAACACCACCACCATCGATACTACGCAGTTGAAATAATAAAACCAGATATAACTGGTCCTTAAACTGCCGCTGTGCGCATTTTTGCTTCATCATTTCTTTGACAGTTTGCAAATGTGTGCACCGAGGCGTGTGTCGGAGGGGTGTGTCTACTCTGCAGTACAGTGGTAGGCTGGGAAGCGATGCCGATGCTGCATGGCGATCTTGCCATACATTTGCAATGCATGAGAAATGGCCCAGTATGCTAAACATAGACGATTAAACAATCCATTCCACGATCACACTGGGCAAACCTTGCTGAATTGTTGAGCCTATACCAAGGTAAATCTCCTTTTGTTTTGTTTTAGCAACTACGCATTTATTAGGCTACATTTGTTCATTCATGGTTGTGTGCACATGTGAGCTATGTGGTGTTAATGGTGTGTGCGTGTGTGTATGTACGATGGGGCCAGCGGAGGGGGCCTGGGTGAAGGTCAGGGGTGTGTCTATAATGTAAACACAGTAAAGGCGACAGATACGAAGGGGAGAGGAAAAAGAGAGAGGAGGGCCTCATCCGGTTCCATACAACTCCTTTTACTCCTGCTGCAGCCTGAAAACAGGAGATAGATCTGTGCAGATTGTAAAGAGAACACTGTGCTCGGCTTTCAGATTATTTAGTATTTCCAATGATGTTAAGGGAGTTGTCTTTCAAGCAGTAGACATTATTTCATGACATTTTACGAGGTCAGTGAATATATTATGTTTTGTTTATTTTTGTATTAAATAAAAGCTTAACCAAATAATACAATTTCAAGGACTTTTATTACGGTACTATTTCGATCCCATTCTGTATATTGTACTATTTTGAAATAATCTTTATTTTGGCCATAAAACATAATACAATTCTGAATCATAATCATAATACCTTTATTCGTCCCACAGAGGGGACATTTACATTTGTTACAGCAAGTACATTTACAAAACATCAATGCACCCGAGTTCGTAAACAGATGAGTCGATTGCAGATAATATCAGTAACAAAAACATGTAGGCTGATACTAGCCACCTACTTACAACATGTACAAACAAACTACTACCTTCCCTCTGTTGTTTTTATCAGATGTGTGTCAGGTTTTTTACACATGTATCACCTGCACTAGTCTAACAGTAACATGTGCTCTAGTTGCAGTGTGTTGTTCACTGCTTTTCTGCTTTCTAAATCACATTCCTGCATTGCATTGCTTCCCAAACAACCAGAAATGTGATGACATTCCCTAAACATTCCTGTCCACTCCACATTAGACATCTAAATATGTTGTACCCGCTGTTTGGGTAAAGAGTACAGACCACTTAACAATTACGGCCACATCAAAAAGCCAAAGCTTGCACGGGCAAAGTTCAATGTCAACAAAAAACATCTTCTTCTTTTCTGTCTTAAGTAAATTAGCATAACCTGAGCCCTCAAGCACCTTAGACATGTGTCATAAGCTTGTTGACTGTTGATTCATGTCCAGTGACTGGTAGTAAAGTGTGTGGGTGTTAGGTTCATGCACATGGAGAGTTGATCCTTGTCCTGCGGCTTGGGCGGTTTCCAAGTCTGGCACCAGCATTGGATCAAGCTGCTCCACTAACAGGGATTTGTTTGGCTCCACAACACCCATGTCAGACATGTATCGTGGCCCAGCCATTTTGTGTTCTCACATGCTTCGGCCCTTCACAGTGAGGTGGCCCACTGTTTGGAAACCAGAAGACTGGAAATTGTAAATCAGAAACACTTGACACACTAAAAGTTAGCACCAGTGCCACAAATCAGTTTTGTGACACTGGTGCAGGAAAATAAATAACTTGCATAGTAACACATGCCTTAAGAACAGAATGAGTTGACTTTATATGCTTTTCTATGGTGTAAAAGGACAGATAAGGACATCAGATTACACACATATTAGGATGTGCACATCCAAGCATATATTATATATATATATATATATATATATATAGAAGTCTCCTCCCAGTGTTAAGTAAATTAATAAAAAAAATAGTATACACCCAAATTCAATACTACTTTTCAAGTAACAATCTGACAACGAACTACCAACATGCCTATAGAGATGGTCACTCTACAAGTACAGCACTTGCACAAATGACCGACGACTGGTTAAAGAGCATGGATGATAGGAGGCTTGTAGGAGCTGTCATGTTAGACTTTAGTGCAGCTTTCGATGTAATCGATCTCAGTCTGCTGCTGAGCAAACTCAAATGCTATGGCTTTGGTTCTGTGGCTATGTGTTGGATGGAGAGCTTCCTGACTAGGAGAAGGCAGCGATTATTTTTCAATGGGAGCTTTTCTGAAAGTAAGGTGTCGCAGTGTGGGGTCCCACAGGGGAGTTCGCTTGGGCCTTTGTTGTATTCTATATTCACAAATGACCTTCCTTACGTATTAAATAAGTCCAGTGTAATAATGTATGCTGATGATTCCACAATGTACAGTACAGCATCAACATGCAGTGAGTTAAACTATCTACTTAAATAGAGATTAAAGCCATAGCAGACTGGGTCAACAATAACAAACTGGTACTCAACATTGCAAAAACAAAAGCTATGGTGTTCGGATCCAGACATATGTTAAGCAGCAATCCTCAATTAAGCCTGACACTGGCTGGTCAGCCGGTGGAACAGGTAAACGAGACTAAGGTGCTTGGCATTGTTCTTGATTCTGGTTTACAGTGGACAAAGCAAATAGACAGTATTGTAACTAAATGGGAAGGAGCATAGCTGTGACGAGAAAATGTACAAAGTATGTAACACCAACCACTTTGAAATAAGTCATTCAGTCTCTGGTTTTGTCACATCTTGAGTACTGTCCGGTCATATGGTCATCAGCAGCAAGAACACATATACAGAAATTACAAATAGCTCAAAACAAGGCTGCCAGACTAGCTCTCCACTGTTCGAAGCGCACTCATATTGGAGTTATGCATAGAAACCTATCATGGCTTCCGGTTGAGAAACGCCTGCAATCTCGTGTTATCACTTTTCTAAAAAATGTCCAATTTAGCAAAAGACCACTGTATTTTTATGATCAAATAGTTTACACAAGAGATGAGCATGGCCATAAGACTAGACAAGCTACATCAGGCCATCTACTGGCACCTAAACCCAGGACAAATCTTCTGAAATCTTCTGTGTCTTATAGAGCTATAAAGGAATGGAACTCATTGCCAAACTACCTTGCTGAAATAGAGTCCAGAGCCTCTTTCAAGAAAAGATTGAAGGGCCATCTACTAATGACCATGTACCCTTGTAAGGTGTGAACCCTCATTTAATTTGATCTCATGCTTTGTACTGGTGGGTGTCTAGTGCACTCATCCTTGGCTGAGATTGATATTGAAAGTGGATGAGATTGTTGATGATGTTGGAAATTGTTGATGATATTGGTGATGTTGTTAATGATGACAGGAATTATGTCTTGAGTGTTGTTGTATTATTGTTGTATTATTGTTGTATTGTTTTAAGTGTCGGACCCCAGGGAGAGTAGCTTTTGTCAAGAGCAAAAGCTAATGGGGATCCTTAATAAACATAAACATAAACAAGCATGTGGCTGGAGATTTATAGGAGATGCATTTGATTTTAATTGGTTAGATTAATATGTTGTTATTACCACCACAATAACAGAAAAATAAAACATTTCAGATAAAGACAATCATTTACTTAAGTGGATTACTGTGCCGAGTCAAATTGCCCTCAACTGCATGTCAACATAATGTTGCACGAAAGCAATGTACCGTAATTTGAATTATGGTGTTGTAAAAGCTGAGACAAGTCATGAAACGTAAATAAAAAAACTGAAATTACAATTTAAAAAGTGGGTTTAAAAGTGATTTACAGATTTACAACCCTCTACTGTATACAGCAGAACAATCAGGTCAGAGCATATCAGGTAAGATAAGAAATAGAACTCCAAATATTTTCATCTCCAATAAATACATAAACATGTGATTAAACATCATGTGTCTAAATTATTTCTTGACCTTATCAAACCTATTAATTACTGAAGACAAACAGAGCCACAAAAGGAATATAATCTATGTCACAAATCATGTTTTTCTTCCCTTCCAAATAAGGGAGTGTTTTGTGAGTAACAACTGTGTCCACAGCGAATGTTATCCGAGCCCTCAGGTGCACCAGTCCCCTTAAAGCACCTGAAGTTATCTCCGGCCAGATTCTAAAAGCATGTGTTTATCAGCTGGCCGATGTCCATGTGAATACACTCGATCTTTGCCCTTTGCTCCAGTTAGTACCTTTGCAATACAAAATGCATTCATGTCAGACCTATGAAACCTAGGATATCCTGCCTGAGGGGACTACCCCCCTGTGGCACTTGCGTCTGTCATCATGGGATGCCTAGGGCTGCTGGTCAAATCCCACATTGCCTAGTTACTTCCCTTGGGCAATCTATACAGTCTCTTGACCAAAGAGCAAACAGATGAACTGCTTCTCCTCTGTCACACTTGGACATGAAGAGCACATATCTGAGAATACTGATTATGGCCCAGCCTTCAATATAATTCTCTTCATCCTCATGGACTACGGCTGTGCACC